AAGATATAAAAGCCGATGTCCAGAGTGCTCAAGGAGTTTACAGTTAATAAACTCGAGGATCAAATCACAAGACGTGTGTTGTTCATGCAGATGTAAAAATGAAGGTAAATTCCAGAAAATATCCTTGATGATAAATAGCCTATCAATTTAGACAGATGTTACGTTGGTAGGTCTTTATGTAGCCGAGAGTGTATCCTACCTATGTGAGTAACTTGATATGATGAGTTCAACTTTATGCATTTTTGCATCAGAAGACACCATATTCATAGAAGTCCCTTGGCTGACATTATTTTAATCTAACGTCAGCAAGTGTAATTGGTTCAAGAGCAGAATTATAAGTGACGTTTCACTGAAACCACAAAGGGCAGACGGATGTTTAATCAAAGCCAAAGGGTGCTATGTGCTACGCTGAATGTTATCAGCATAAAGACATACACACACACATAAAGACAGCAGAAGTTTGCAAGGAAGAAACAATCAATGGGGTCTCTTCTCTTCTTTGATGTCGCAGCTCGTTTTTACAGGTAGTGACTGCAGCAATGGAAACTTCATAAAAAATGGTCTTTTCTCAAATGCACTGGCCACAGTATGTCTCTGTATGTGTATGTATGTGTGTGAGTGCAGAAACCAAAGATGCTAAGCTAGCTATCAGTGTGTCTGACAGCTCTTGACCCTGAGTCACGGTCGGCAGCCAAGAGATGCTGACTGAGGCACTGGCGGGTCAAAGACTGTGTGGAACACCCCTGTGTGTGTGTTTGTCTGACAGAGTTTAAACGGCCACATCAACTGTCTTAACTGAGTGATGAGGTCACGACAGCCCTGTCACAGCTGTCTGTGAAGAAAGGTACATGACCTGTCACAGTGACAAGTTTAACTGTAAAGATCTGTATGAAGAGAGCTGGATGAGTGGAGCAGAGTGTGTCTGTGTGTACATGAAAGTGAGGGACAGACTAAAGAGAGAGAGATAAAACAATCAAGCACTCGTTCGTTTTAAGATCAATCTCAGGACAATCTCACATGAAACAATTCTACTGAAATCCAACAAACAAATGTTTGTGGAGCTTTTTCATTATCTTTCTAACATGACACCTATCTTAGATTTATTCTTTCCTCGAATAAAACTTGAAAAACAGAGCAACTTTCACCAAAGGAGGGCAATAACTGTGTCAAGCATCTAAAGATTGTACTTGGAAAGACTTTAATTAGCTCTGCAACAATCATTGTTGATGATTGTGAGCACGTTTTTTTTTCAAAATTAGCTTTTTTCTGTTGCTTCTGAATAAAACAAGGATTTTCTGACAGCAAAATAAAGCTCATTATGTTCCTCTAACAGGTTTATCAATCTTTGTATCTATCCTTATCAAATATTATCTGTTTTGCAATTCTATCCACTTAAAATTCAGTTGTGTAGGAAGTACTCAGTTTATTAAAAAGTACTAATACCACACTGTAAAAATACTCTGTTAGAAGTAAAAGTCCTGCATTGAGTAGTAAGTTGGGTGCTGTTTCCAGTAACCAGGGTTCATTCAGCCTGGCTCAGCTCCACCCACGCTCCACATCTTTGCCCATTTTTGGATGAGCCGGGAGCCGGTGGAATCATGACTGCCAAGATGGCGACCACTCTGAGCTTTACAGTGGCTCTTCAGCAACATATGGGTCACAGCAGGGAGACTACGTCCATTTTTTATTATACAGTCTATGGTTTTCACTTAAAGTAGCTTTCTAGTAGGAATGCACATTGAATCGAAATATTATCCAAATTGCAATATGGCCAAGTGTATTATCCAAATCGCAGGAGCTGCGATTTTTTATCAAGCTAAAATGTGTGATAAAACAGCATTATAATGATTACTATAGTTCTACAGAGATGCCCTGGCCTACAAAATCCTATTCCCCAGATATAAGAAAGGATTTTAATAGTATTTTCTGTGAAAATGTAATTTGTGATGTAAAAATTATCATTCCCACACTAGTGGCACTTTATACATGTGCCTTTCCTTCCTTGTAGCTAAATATTACCTATGGTACAGTATATTACCGTATGTGGAATCTTTAAAACAAAGACTGTGTTCAGCTTTTATGTAATGGCTCCACCATAATATCAAATGGAATAATTCTAAATGTTTGATGCAACATTGTTTATAAAATATAATGTAACATGGCCAGATACATGTGTATTGTGCTTGTCTGTGTAATATGTGACCATCATTTGTTGGTGACTAGCAAAGTATGAGGGGTGTTTTCTACTGTCTGCGTACTCTTTGTCATTGTACTACGTGGACAACCTTATTGAGCCAGAGTAATCATATCTGCTAGATCTGCCATCAATTTGTCCTGTGGCCTGTAAAGAGTGGAACCTAACCCTCTGTAACATCCATCCACCCTTATGTTCCTCTTCTGTGAAGCCTCTCCATCCTATTACAGATATTAGTATATCACAGAACAAATTTGTTCTTTTTTATCTCAAAGTAAATGTGAGTTTTTAAATTGTTCTTAGTCATTATTATTACATTTACAGTTGCAGATATGCCAACAATTGTCTTACTGTGACTGACAGTCTACCTCTCTTCAAAATTTCACTTCAGCTCTCCCTCTCTCCCCGTCTCCCTCCCTCCCTCTATTAGCCCTGACACTGTCAGCCCTCTCCTCCCTCACTCCATCCTCTCTCTAATAAGTCTGGCATTCTCAGCATCACCCTCCCTCCTCTCTTCTTCCCATCCCTCCCTACTGTCTCCATCCTGCTATCCTTCCCTCTAATATGGTTGACATTCGCTACCCTGTCCTTTCTCCATCTCTCCTGGCTGACTCAAGCTTAAGTGCTGCCTGGAGGGCCCATTCGTGGGTAGCAGAATTATAGAGGCCAAGGCCACAGGTTAAGTACACTCTGAACAGAGGAAAAGTGACAAGAGGGCCAAGTTCTACCAATGTGCACAAGGAGGAAGACAGACTGCAGATAACAACAGTAAGACACATCAGATAATGATCTAAGACAAATGCAGACAAACAAAGAAGACCAACCTCTTTTTAAGTATCATAACTGTTTTATATGGTGAGCATCTTCAACACCTAGGCCTCCAGGATGCCCAAATATATTTGACTTTATGGTGGAAAATTTGAAACCAGACAGGTTGCACTAACCATAGCTGAGTATGTGCCTTAAAACACAACACAAATAATAGAACACGGTGCACTGGGAGCAATGCTTTCCACACAACGTATTGTACTTTCTTGCATTGAAATCAAGGGTATCCCCAGTAGTATCACGCTCGACTAACTGACAAACTTGTACAGTGTCTGCAAACAAAACATCAGCCACTTTGCTTCAAATGAAAGCCAACTTCTGCAAACCTTTCACAACAGCTCTGTCATATTTGCTCTCACGCAGAAATAGTGCAAATGTTAGTTTATGTATAATAATATATTTTAAATGAAGATTGTAAATAAAGGTGGTGGCGGCGGCGGCGGCACAGTAGCTCACCTGGGAGAGCACGGGCCCCATGTACAAAAACATTATAAACAAAATGTGATGAATGTATGACCTTGGCCTTTCTATAGCTAGTGGCCTATAGCTTGTATAAGGCAGAGAAAGCAGCATTATACCTGTGTGTATCCTCAAGTTAGCACTGTCAATGTGAGCATGTTAGTATGTCAATGTTAGAATTTAGCACCACTGTGCTTAAGCATAGGCTCATAGAAGTGCTACGATTCTAAAATCTTTTTGTTGACGGTGTGGCTGCACCCACTGCTGCCACAAATTTATTTTTCTTATAGACAATATGCCAGTATTTGACTGCTTTAACTCTTACAATAAGAATTATGGCCAGTAAGTGTTGATGATTACATGAATTTACACTCCTACTGGTATGGTAAACCTATAATAACCACACTAAGACAAAAACTCAAGACTGAAGCAGCAGTCATGGTTAGTAAAATAATAGTGACTATCCGTTTGAATGCTACCTTGTATGTTTTTACATCCGTGTATATGTTGTTTCTGCATCATGTTCATTGGTGTACAAGCTTTCATAAGCTTTGTGCCTTTAAGCTTACATGCTGAGTGCAGTAATACTCACACACAGGCAAGCACATACTGTAAGGTACATAAAAAACGCTGAACTATAGGTCAACGCCTGCTGGCTCTGCAACAGCGAGGCAACATGAGCTAAACACCCACAAAGCATCATTGGACCGGGATGATGTGGGTGTATTGATTTTTATGTGGGAGTGGGGCAGAGGGGTGGAGCTAAAACTGGAAATGCAGTAGATGACAGATACCCATTGAGTGATGTCTAAATGGGCATGTGGGGGTGGAGTGGATGTAACGGGGCAGGGTGGTGGTGTATATACAGCTGAACCGAGCACGTAAAAAAAAAAACAGAACTGAGTGGGAGGGAGGGAGGTGAAGGGTGGGGCTGGTGTCACAGCAGCCACACCTCACCATGGAAACAGTTGCTTGGTGATACAGCTAGGTTGGCCGATAGGGACGCGGATCTCTGCATTTTATATCATCACCTCTCACCTGGTGGGGTTCGATTAATATAGTTGTGTGTGTGCGGAAGGAAGACACCATTTCAAAGTGAGTGTGTCATAGATATTATTAAGAACAGATCTTTCAGAGGAGTTTGTGTGACATTATCAATGAAAAACATTTTCTTCACAGCTGCAGCAACACTCCGAGGCTCTGTGAAAATGTAAAACAGAATTTGGGAACATTTATCTCAAACCTTGGTTCCACAAACATGTTCAGTGAGCCGTAACCTCTTGGATACACAGTTCTGCAGATCTGATCTCGCTCGTACGAGGTGTGAAAACTAAAAAGACACTGTCACATTTTTGTTAGGCTGTTATTATACTTGCTAAATTGCCTGTCATATTTAGATGTCACCGCTTTCAGCATACCGTGAAACAGTATGAATTAATAACTTTCTGTACAGTATACCTAAGTTTGCAAAGAGCTACAGAATCCGTATGTCTTGACATCATTTCACATACACACTCACCTGGCAGAAGACAGGTTTGTAGGTTTCAGAGAAGAGCTGGGTCAGTTCTTCAGAGTCACAGAGGTCCAGCGGCAGCCGGTTCACACACAGACACTTGGAGTGCAGGTTCTCCTCTTGGCTCAGCTGGTTGACGTCCATCCACTGCACCATCAATGAGCGATCACCCTGCGCAATAATAGAGTGTGATACAGAATCTGATTTTCAAAACCCTGAACTGGCTTCACACTCCTACACTAGACAAGTACCCTCTGCATAAACTCTGCATTTATTAAAAAATAAATATTTGTAAATATGGATTTGCTTGATATTGTATATTCACCCTCTTGGCTCTAAAGTGCTGATTTGAGAGCGTGTCAGCTCTCGAGCTGCCCTTCCATCTACAGTTTTTGTTTCCCCACTCGAGCTGATCCCAAAGGCAAGGTCAGACAAAATGTTGTATAATCTAAAGTAAACTGATTTTGCCTCATTAAAATTAGATGTGGAGTTTTTTGTGTAGCATTTCTTCCCAGAGACATTGATTGTGTTTACACTGCAATTTTATATTTCATGAGATCTCAGGAGATAAACTGAAACTAAATTTGACCAGCAGAACCTGTATGCTTTATAACTGAATCAAATCAGGCCAGCTGGTCGCAATTTTATTTTGATTTATTACATAAAAAGACATAAATACGTAACCTGCTTTGTGTTGACCTTTAGTCCAAATTAGTATAATCTAATCCTTTGTTCCATTCAGGTAATTTAAAATAAAATAGAACCAATTTAGGTCAAATTTAGGTTTAGCCCAGGTTTGACCCTGCATACTAAAATGCATCTTTTGTACGGATGCTATACTCATTAAAAAATGGTTTAAAGAAACAGAAGCCCTTTGATAAACATATATCTATCTTATTGATCACTAACAACATTAAATAATAAAACTTTATCATATTATGTGATGATTGATTACTTCAACTCTTCTAACGTACCAGCGGTCGGCCCAGCAGCTCAGAACGGGCCCGTGAAGCAGAGTCCTTCTTCATGTATTCAACAAACCCATATCCTTTGGAGTGACCGGTCAGCTCACTATACACCAGGAAGGAGCGCTCGATATTTCCATAGGCGCGTACCAGCTCCTCAAACTGCTGGGCGGTGAAGGTGTGGGGCAGGTTGGTGAGGCAGAGCAGGGAGTCGGTGGGCTGCAGGGTGACGTTGATCAAGCGTCCCCGGACAGTGCTGTGATGGAGGGAGCGGATGGCATCCTGAGCCTGGTCCCCGTTCAGCAAAGTCACAAAGGCTGGAGGAGGGGACATTATGGAGACAGCGACGAGAGGAAAAGACAGACAGAGACAAAAACACAAAGAAAGAGATACACATAAATGGACGGAGACGTGTGAGAGACAAACACAAACATACATTTAAAGCGAACATTCAAAAACAGGCAGAAAGCAGTCCGTGGATAATGCAGAGGAGGGGACACAGTCAGAAAACATGCAAAAAACAAGTCACATGAAAAGCAAAGAAAATAAATGACAGGCCGAATGTGGCAAAGTGACAAAAAAAAAAGAGAAAATTTGGGACAACCAAATGACCAACCAAAATGACAGACAGACAGTCATAAAGACAGACAGACAGATACACAGAGAGAAAGACAACACATTAGCTAGGAAGCCAAAAGGAAGCCACTATGTAGGGGGAATCCACTGTGACACACACACACATACACACCTTATCTCATTTAAAACCTGACGTGTGTGTGTGTGTGTGTGTGTGTGTGTGTGTGTGTGTGTGTGTGTGTGTGTGTGTGTGTGTGTGTGTGTGTGTGTGTGTGTGTGCTGTAAACCAACAAAGGTTATCACCTGTTATAGATAAGAAAAGCCTACAGTATGTTCTGCAAGTTATTGTAACTGTTATTCTCTATACAAGGTTACAATCCAGAGAAGCCTCAGTAAGAATTTACAATAGGTTTTCTTGTGATATCTAGCTCAGTGATTTAAAAAAATAACACCACAATGTGTAAAAGCCCATTAATAATCAAAAGTAACTTCCAAGTAGATAATACTTTGTGACATCCTGTGAAAACAACTATGCCTTCTGACCAGAGAAACAAAAACATTAAAGTATATTATATTGTAATTCATTCCCATACATGCTGCTCAGAGTAATCTTAGTCCACTGCTCAGTGCCAGAGTCTCTCCCTCTCCTCTTGTGCCGTGTGCAGTCAGTTAGTCGGTGTGCTGTGCCGGGTATGTTTGACCTTCTCTCTCACTCTTTCTTACCGGATCTTTGGATTAAGACAATCCTATATCTTGTAAATATGTAAATAGTTTGTTTGACTCTCTCTCTCTCTCCTCTCTCTCTCTCTCTCTCTCTCTCTCTGGATTAGAGTGTTTCTATTAGCTTATATGTAAATTGTTTGTTTGAGTTTGTAAATATTTAAATGGTTAGTTTGAGTCTTTGTATATTTCTTTTACTTTGCTAGACTTTTTGTTTTGCCTCAAATATACAATGTCCCTGTAGTGAGTTTGTGATTATTTGGCTAAATAATAATAATGTTAAGTGCAGTGATGGATTTATTGATCAATCAGAAATAAATAAAAACAAATGAAAAAATAATGAGAACTGATTGTGGCCAACCACCTAGGGTGATTTCAATTTTATATTCTGATTATTTAAATCAGCAGGCATTTCTGAGAAAGAGCATGCATTCAATTGCAAAAAACAAAAGAACTACAGCACCTACTGGCACCAAAAGCATGAACATAACTGATTTAAATTGTACACATACCACTATGATACCATAGTAAGAACACCCAAGCTGTGGGCAATGCCATAACAAACAAATATACAAATAAAATGCTATTTGATATGAGGTCCAATGTGACCATGGTGACATAGTTAAAATACTTTGTGATAAGCACCTTCTCTTTTTAACTGAGTTGCATCACTTTGTAGTAACCATTAAAAAAAAAACCGAAGTGCATTACTGATTCCTGGTACAATACCATAGAACAAGGTTGTCTAATCAAAGTGAAACAGGAAAGGCTGGCTGTGTGATTTTTGGAGAGATCCATTAAAATGCATTTTGAACAACTGAAGACAGCTGTGCCTTGCACTATGAGCTTTTGCCCTGCAGGAAAATATCACCGTGCCTCAGGACAATGCTGCCCCTGGTCATGCACCTGTATGAGAACACAAGCCAGTGACTTTCATCAAAGCTCCAACCTCACCTGCTGTTATCCTGACCCTGAAGTCATGCACACATTGGTCTTGAAATAGTGTCTTCAGTGTATTTCAACACACATGGAATACTGAGATTATTTCATGGTGGTTATTGTTGTGAGTTTTAATCTGCTGTAATTACTTCCTCCCTGCATCCACTATCTACTCTGTCATCAGTAGGGCTGCCCAATCTAGTCAAAATAGTATATGTATTATTATATTAAATATAATAGTATATTTATCCAAATACCTTGACATTAATAAACAGCATACTGAAATAATCTGATGACGTTTCAAAATAACTAGCTGTGTTTCAAAAGGCATTTACCAAAATCATTAGTTACATGAAAGGCAGAGGCATTTTCTGAGTATTTTTACATATTAGTATCCTAATGTATCCCATTTCGGCATTCCCATAATGGGGCTCTATGTTTGAAGTCAAAGTGAAAGCCTGACAACTGGCAGCATGGATGATAAGCTGAGTATCACTTGTAGCTCTTGTCTTCCATTACTGGTGACAAGATAGAGAAGCATAATCTGTTCAAATTCAGCATCATTCAGGTAGCCAAAAAGCTTCACCCACAAATGCTGAGAGGACTCTGTCTGTACTATCTGTATTTAAATGATACACACTGCAGTGGATATTCAATAGTTTTCCATAATGAGGTGGAAATTAAAACATATTGCCAACTTCAAAAGGATATGTTATGGGTATAAAATGATTGTATGGGTCATTGTGAACATGTTAATGTTATGTTATTACTTGTAACTGAAGAAAAAGTACAAGGTAAACTTTACCCAAATTGTCACCACTGGTGTGTTTTATCTTTGGACCTCTGAAAAGGGCCCCCACCCTCGGGCCTCTGGCACCATTTTAAGCATTAATCAATGTAAAAAAAAGAAATGCACATTTGTTTGCTCTGATGTGGGCGAAATTATGTCCAAATAACAGGTCATTTACAGCCTACACTCCTCAATCTGCATAAATGCATGTGTTCGTGTTCGAGCCTGCTGCGTGTCAATGTGTACATGTTGACATGACAACACCTGCTAGAGGCAGCAAGACAGAGAAGAAAATTAAAGTAAGGACATGAGATGATTTATACTCTCTATACTCTCACTGTTCCAGGCCTTAAATCACCATAAACACCAAAAAAAGTTAACCTCACATAATAACATAACAAAATAATAACAAGTTCCATGTCTGACCCTGAGTGTACAACAAATAGCCAGGCCCCACAGGAAATAGAAAGTTGAATGCTGGAGTTTGGGTTGTGAGTGATTGTTTGTTAAATTATTCCAATGAAAACATTGGCAGCTGGTGTCTCTGCCACTCATCAGAGGGAGCAAAGCAGCCAAAAAAAATCATCAGAGCAATGAGTGATTTTTGGTGCTACAAAATGGTGTTTCAATCATATGCAGCGAAGACTACGATTACTGGCTGGCTACATCTATGTGGCTTCCATTTCAAGACAACAGGCTCAGCGCCTTCACAACCTGAAAGCACAGTAAAAAAAGGTTTCAAAACATCAATAGAAACCTCTCTAACCACCCCTGAGTCATAATCCACTTTTTCATTGGTATTGTGTGTGTTCGGTGTGCTCCAAACAATCCTCCCTTTACCATAGAGTCATTTGCCATTTCAAACAGAGGTTCAGGGCTATGAGAAGGCAAAGGCCTCTTTTTGTATTGTATTCAGCTCTGTTGTGGAGAAAGTGTTTTGGAGCAAAACGAACACACACATCAGTGAAGTGGATTATGCTGCAGGAGTGATTTGAGTGATGTTTTTGGGCCGTGAGGGAAATCCATTGTAACTGTTGGGAATCTACCATTCTCCACAGGAGCAAGCTACTAACTTGTACAGCTATCTTGCAAGCCTAAAATTGGTAAATATTTGATTCTCAAAAGACATATTTTTGGTATCATATTCCTTTAAGACTACAGTCCAGCTCCTAAAGTACTGGGCAGGCTTTTTAGCATCATAAAGAGATGTCAAACCTGGATGTCCTACATGTAACAGTCAGGTTTAACATCAACTCAAACAAGAACAACAAGTTAATTTGCCATTTTTATGGCATTGTAAAAAAAAACCTCATAAATTGTAAAAATATTCAATTAAAAATGATGTAAAACAAAAGAAAAGAATTGGAATATTTTGTCTTTTTCCTCAATAACATACTTTAATCATTAATCAAAATTGTCACTTGAATTTCAACTAATCAAAAACTAAAACTAAAAAAAAAAAACAATCAAAAGTTTCCTTTCACCTCTGCTGTAGGCCGTCAAATCAATATGTATTAACAGTGAAACATATGCGGAGCGGACAGGAGATCTGGAGGTGGCTTAAAAACATCTGTAATGCAGGGCGCCCACACTGACCTGCACATAAACACCACCTCTTTCATCTTACATCAAAGCTACAGTAGGTAACTACATACCATTCCCTCAAAATAGAGACACAATGTCCATATTCTTTGGTTAAAAAATACCAAGACAGCAAAGCAAGAGTAGAAACTGCTCCTCTGTATGTGCAGGCATCTGTGACTCAGTGTATGTGGAGATCAGGTATGGGCTGGACGCTTGGATGGAAAATATTAGCCAAAAAATGTTGAAATGAGCAACAATTGGGACATCTGCTTCACAGGCGTCTCAGTTTTCACAGAGAACATCAATGTAGGCAGATCTAATGCAAGGTCAGGATCGGGCTAACACATAGAAAATCTATCACCACCTCTCTGTAGTTCTTTGTCTTCAGCCTGCCTGTATTTGTCTTTCTCCCCCTACTGCATCTGTATCTTTATTGATCTCTCTGTATTGTCTTTTTGTGCCTTTTCTTCCCACCATACTCCTCTCCGACTACTGTATTTCTTCATATCTATTGGATTTATGCCGTCTGTCCTTTGGTCTCTCTCACTGCTTCTCTCCCAGTTTTTCTATCTCCATTTCCATGTGCTTCTGCCTGTCTTCAGATACCGCCTCCACCCAAATCAATTACCTCAAAGCCCATCTAATACTCTTACACATACACACACTCACACAGACACTCACACACACTCTGTAATGGATCTCTTACAC